GGGGGAATAGACTAAAACATAACATTTAAACAAACCATAATAACCTCAAATAATATCCTGATAATGGAACCAAATATTAACTAAGGAAAATACTGAAATACTAAACATCAAAAAGCATAATAATCAGAAATAACTAAAATCAAACAAGGAGAAATTACTGCCTCTCCCCATGATTCCGGCCAACATGGTGTAGCCCAATTATCGGCCCAACCCCTTTTAAGCATCTCTGATTCAGCCGGCACTTCCTTTGTCAGCCATGAGACACCTTCAGCAGCAGCAGCACCCAGGAACTGGTAACTCAAAGAAAACTGAATTAATGCAATGAAAAATAACCTAAATGAATGAACCTAATACTACCCAAAATTGACAAAGGAAGTTAACTAATTGTGTGCACCCCAAAAAGATAACGGCTGTCAAAAATGGATAATAAAACTGTGTATTATGAATCCCAAATCTGTGTCTAATGTTCTAAATCTAATTACAACTAAACCTAAAGATAATCAAACAAATGAAAGAGTTACCACCATGTGCTTTTGCCTCAGCCTCACACCCTATGCTGGAAGTGGAGCTGGGTGAGAAAGTGTCATCAGAACTTTTGATCCATTTCTAAATTCAACATGAGTCAGCAGTAGTACGTATACTACAGCTGCTTTTTCCAGATAGTGACTTTTTGCCTACTTGTGGCTAATAGTATATTATTAGGCTAACTACACTGCCACTGATGGTAATGGCAGAACTGTGAGAAAGGAAAGAGCAAGGGAAAGGGAGCAAAAGAGGTGCTGTTTTTGGTGATAATTGAATGCTAATTTAGCACTCTGATACAAAACACTTTTTTTATTAAATCTTACTCACATACAGACACTGTACTTGTTCAGTGTCTCAATATTCCAGAATATGTGAGAAAGTGGTGTTTAATACCAGCAAAAATACATCTGAACATTTTTAATCATTGTGGGTGGATGTGATTTTGGGTCATCAGTGTCTAAACTCTAATCATAAAAGCAGCGGACCAAGTATGTAAAGAGGGAAAACCACAAGCTTAACAATGGTCAACAACATGGTCATATTATTCTTTTAGTCAAATGATTGATAGCAGTCTTTTATAGGGTGCTCAAGAAAAATCATTAAGCATCTTTTCTTTTCAGTAAGGATAGCTTTATTAACCTTTAACCACCCTTTGTCTGCCTGCAGGACACCAGCACTAGAACTAGTTAGCTAATAAAAACATTACATGAACACGTAGTAGATGTATCTATATATTAGTCTTTTCAGTCATACATTATACACAAATACACTAGAAAACAAAACTTAACATTAATACCAATCAGTATTAACTTCAATCCGATCGACCAGTGTAACACAATATGATGTGATTATGTGTACAGCAGGGAAAGAAAGAGTTTCCCGTTGAGGTGAAATGAGTATTAATGTTTCATGTCACTAGGTGTGAAAAAGACATTACTGTAGGCTGTTAAGAAAACACACATACACACCTATGCAGGGATAGATACTGATGTATTAACAACAATGGTGGAATACTCAACATGGCTAAGAGGTGTGAGGTTTAGATTAAAACAAGACAATTTGTCATTGTCAGACTAAATGGAAGAGAGAGGGAGGGATGTTATGAAAATGTCATTAAATCTCTGTAGTTGTGATGAATTATTGATTTGATCTGAATCTGGGTGGTGGCGCTGTGTTTTGTTCAACCAATTAATGGTGTTTGTTGCTCCCCATAGCAAAAAAAAAAAACCTGTTGTAGGCTGTGTGCAAGGGAAGATATGTTTTTTCAATATTGGTATTTGGCCCTGAAAATATCTCAGTATTTTGTTTCTATTTATTGGTTTTGCTCCAAAGGATTTATTACACTTTTAATAATAGCCTGAAAGCACAAACAGTCCGGCTACCACCTCATGTCCCAAATTAGGCACAACAGCATGGGAAAATGATTGTTGTTGCTGATGGTTGCTCAGTCCCAGTTGAAATATATGTAAGAATGAAATCTTCAGCATTTCCCCTTTAGGCTCAGCCCAGCAAGAATGATATGCTACAATTAAATTAGTTTAATCTCAAGATATGACTTGATCAAATCTGTATTCATTGCACATAAACATTGTCGTATGTGTATCAAAAACACCAGCAGAGACAACCAGAGACTATTGTTTTGCAATTTATTCTGCCTTTATGTTGGAAATGTTGGAAACGTGTTATTTGTGAATTCTTACTCAAATTTTAGTTGAGTACTAAGTTTACTACTTAAACTAAAACAAAAAGTTAAAATAAGAATAAAAAAATACACCATTCCAAGTAAAGGTACACAAGTATTATCAAAATTAAACATGTTCATTCTGCAGCAAAATAATCTCTGTAGGTGACATTATTAGATTTTTAATACTGATGCAATAATGTGTT